TGATCACCATTGCACTATAGCCCCCAACACTGAAAATAAAGAAAAGACATACTTCTATTTCAGTAATAGTCTAGAACTGAAAGTACTAAGCTATCTCAGTGAAGACTAACTGTTGAGTAGGGAGTGGGAGTTCGGTTTTTCCAACATCTCATTTCTGGAGAAGGGGAGAATTAGAAAGCAACACCATTCTTGAGATCTCATTTTATTGGCCTGAGGAAATGCTATGGAGGAATATGGCATCTTAGAGGATAAACATTTTGTTTTCTCTTAATAGCAGATAAATACATTTTATTGTGAGAATCAGGAGAGGGAAGATTATCATTAAAGAAATTTAAAAGTAGAATAAAACTCCCAAAATCAACATAGTGAAAAAAAAAAAAAGAGGGAGGTCACTGAAGATCAGCCAATCAATAGAGCAAAAATAAGGACAAAAACTTTAAGGAAAAAGTAAAATATAAGGTGAAATGGAAAAAAAGTGCATTAATTGTTATAAGTTAACAAACTGATTTTTCTTTTTAAAAGATAATTATTAACTGAGTTATAAAACAAAATTCAGAATTACACTATTTATAAGAAGCACACTTGAAGAGAATATAAAAAATAAAGCAATGGGCAAAAATTAACTTGGCAAATATACATACACAAAAGAAACAGAAGTCAGTTTTTATCAGGCAAGTTAAAAGTACTTTAAAGATTTTTATAACGTTTTGATAAACGACATGCTTTGTGAAGATGATTTAACAGTCATAAACTGGCTGGGCGTGGTGACTCATGCCTGTAATCTCAGCACTTTGGGAGGTAGAGGTGGGTGGATCACGAGGTCAGGAGTTCAAGACCAGCCTGGCCAAGATGGTAAAACCCCATCTCTACTAAAAATACAAAAAAATTAGCCGGGCCGGTGGCACGCGCCTGTAATCCCAGCTACTCTGGAGGCTGAGGTAGAGAATTGCTTAAACCTGGAGGGACGGAGGTTGCAGTGAGCCGAGATCGTGCCACTGCACTCCAGCCTAGGCGACAGAGTGAGACTCTGTCTCAAAAATAAATAAATAAATAAATAAACAAATAAATAAACAGTCATAAACCATACAGTATAGAAGCTACTATATATAGGAAAAACCACCAGAAATGCAAGAAGAAATTTATTTAAAGCATAATTATAATGAAAAGTTTTAAACAGATTTTCAGGATTTGTATATGTCTGATACACAAAAAATAAATAAGGATATAGAAGAAATATGTAATATCCTAAAACTATTAATTTGTAAGAGTAGAACTTTATAGACAGTATTATAATGACATAACTTAATTTTTCCTCCCACTTTTGGGGGTTTAAATGAAGAAAAGACCTTTGGATAAAATATACATCAATACCCAAGACTTTTCTGGTCACAAAGAGATAATAAAGTCCTCTGGTCACTTTTAATTTTAAAAATCCATAAATTAAAAATCAAGTCCCTATGTATTAATAATAGTCAAGGCTCCAAAATTTATTTAAAATTAATGTCTGCAGTAGAGAAGGTGGGTGTGTAATTAGCTGCTTTTGTATTTGTATGCCTTTTATTTATTCAATTACTTCCAGTTCCTAGCCACATTTTCTGACCCCTCCAGGGGTATAGTAGGAGACAGGAGGAGAGAGAAGAGGCAGAAAATGTCTTTACTGCCTGCCACTGTCTGACCTGGCATTAACGTCTCTGAGCTGGGCAGATGTTTAGAGCTGACTCTGTCTCATGTAGAGCACTCACAGATTCCTCAGTGATTCTCCACTGGGAACCCCACAACTGTAATTTCCTGGTTCTTTAGGTTTCTGTTGTAGATTCTCTTCTAGTCTCCCTATACACATAAACAAGGGCATTGTCATTCACTCTGTTGATTTCAACAACCACTTGTTTCTGATCATTTAAATATATATATTTCCAGTTTAGATACTTTCTTGATACCCAGATAAGTATATCTGGTTATCCCTACTTGAATATTATTATGCAATTTAACAAGTACTATGTTCCTCCTCCCAATAATTTGCATCACTGCCCACCCTGTTGCCCAACCCAAAACCTGAAAACATAATTAACTTTATCTTATTCCTTATATTCAGTCAATACCATATCCTCTTGATTCATCTCCTAGATGTATCTCATATCTATATATTGCTCA